AGCGGGGAATCAAACCCAGTTCTCCCAGATTAGAGTTCGCGCTCCTAACTGCTACACCAAACTGGCTCGCTGATATCCACGCTCAATCTCAAAGCCCGCCGAAAAGCCGAGAGCAGATTGTTAACCCAAGCTCTGTACAGGGCTCTGAGCTTCTAGGAGGAAAGGTCGGATACAGATGTGATAAGCAGGTGTGATAAGCTTCGGGGGGGGGGGGAAGAAACAACAATCTAGGAAGCCAACCTAATGGACAATTAACTCACCAGCCATTTAAAGAACCCTTCACTTGTTCACCAAGTTAAAGGTCCAAAGTATATCCATATATGACAATAGCACTACAGATAAGATTAGAATTTCAACAGCCAATCCACATGCAAAAGGACCTCCTCAGGAAACAGGAAACCTCCTCAGGAAACAATCCATATACAAAAGAACCTCCTCAGGAAAGCTCCTCCATGAGCATGTTCACAGCCTGGGGAACTCCTACAGGATAATGACTCAGCCCTACCCCCACCTTCCTGAGTAGATATACATTACCATTTTCTTCGCACTTTGACACAGAGAGTACTCCATCTTTCTGTGTTATACCTCTGAGGATGCCAGTCACAGTACTGGCAAAACGTCAAGGTCCTACGTGGCCAGGACCACGGCCATACAGCCCGGAAAATCTACAACAGCTAATGAACTCTGGCTGTGAAAGCCTTTGACAACTTATATCTGTAGTTTTATGAAAACTGCTGGCATATTGAACAGCTGCTGATCAACACGCAGGACAACAAAGTCTGCCGCTGCCTTTTCCAGATCAAATCTCAAAAAATAAGGTCTACACTGCAGGCCAGTCTGTTCAACAGAGCCCCTTGGCAGTCATCTTCTAAAATAAGGGGCACCTGTCTGGAGTCAAAATGCCGCAGGGACCAAAAGGCAGCCTTGACATGGTTATGGTGAATGTCTGGAAACTCTATTGCTGATACCAAGTCAGTCACGACAGAAGACAATGTCGTGAGCCTTCCAAAAGAATCTCCAAAAGAAGTATTTCTTTGAAGACTTTCCCATTGTGTGTGTTTTTTTAAAAAAAGTGCTTCTAAAATTTCTGCAGGCAAAATCTGCTCATCTTTTTTTTTATTGTTATTTGAGCAATGCTATAATCCCTGTCCAAGGCCTGGCAGCTCACCATGAGTGATATTTCAGCACCGTGAATGACCATTCCTTCATGCAAGGCAAAAATTATCAAGGACGCGAGATCAAAGGAGGTTTTTTTCTGGATTGGCGAATGCGTTTATTTTCCGTTAATCAGAACCCCCCTCCCCCTCCTTCCTTTGGTTCGGCATGAAAAGTGGTTAGGCAGGATACGACCAGGGCTACCTCGGGCCAATCGCTTGTCCGCCTTTACAGTTTCTGCAAAGGGCACTTGAGAACTTTGGAGTTTTAGAATCAGATAACTAAAGGAATGGGACAGCTTTTTAAACTAGGGGACACTTGGGTTTCCGAGGTTCTCTACACAAGGGGTCCCCAACACGGTACCCACCGAGTGCTCTTTGAAAGTGGGGGGGGGGGAAGATGGGGCTTTTGCCCAGTGACTGAGCACCGGAGACTGGATTGGCTCTGAGGATTTTTAAAGATGGTGCTTTGGCAGCAGCCTGCTACCACAAGACAAGGATCTTCAGTGTGCAACTCTTGTCATACAAGTCTTATGTGGCAAGAGTTTTCTGAAGCTAGAAAGTTTGATTGCAACATACGCTACCTTCTGATTTTTTTTCTTCATCTTCCTTTTCTCTTTCTTCTTTTCTAAGAACTGTTCCCACGGAGTCAACTGGTCCTTTCCTTCCAGCTTATGTCTTACCATTTCCTCAGCGGTTTCTTTAAGTCCTAGGGTCAACCAGAAAAAAAACACGTTGTCTGGACAGCAATGAATTAAGACCTGTACTTCTAAAAGCTTTGTGAGAGGAGATGCGCCACACCCACTGTTGCAACAATAAGTTGGGGGGAAATTACTGTATGAATACTGATGTAGGGTCAAACGAACTTCCACGGAGCTGATCTCAAAGAGAGCCAGTTCGGTATGGTGGTTAGGAGCGCGGACTCTAATGTGGGAGAACAGGGTTTGAATCCTCGTTCCTCCACATGCAGCCAGCTGGGTGACCTTGTGTCAGTCACAAGTTCTCTCAGAGCTGTTCTCTCACAAGCAGTTCTCGAAAGAGCTCTCTCAGCCCCACCGACCTCACCGGCAGTGTTCCCTCTAAGCTGAGTTAGTGTGAGCTAGCTCACAGTTTTTCAAACCTCAGCTCACACATTTTTGTCTTAGCTCAGGAAGGATGGCTCCAGAGCAAACTAATTAAGCAGGAGCCAAATTGCTCGCTCACACCTTTAATGCCAGTAGCTCACAAAGTAGAGTTTTTGCACACAAGTCTCCTCCACAGCTTAGAGGGAGCATTGCTCACAGGGTGTCTGTTGTGGGGAGGGGAAGGGGAAGGAGATTGTAAGCCGCTCTGAGACTCCAAGTGAAGGGCGGGGTATAAATCCAATCTCTTCTTCTCTTCTTCTTCTTCTCCATGCTTACCAGGCAGGGAGGACCACCCCTCATTGCCTCCCCAGGACCCGATCTGCTGAATTCTATCTTATCACCTTTCCCATTCAATACATACATGAGGTCATGGAGAAAAAGGAGGAGGAGGAGGTGGAGACTGGATTTATACCCCGCCCTTTGCTACCCAAAGGAGTCTCAGAGCGGCTTACAAACTCCTTTCCCTTCCCCTCCCCACAACAGACACCCTGTGAGGTAGGTGGGGCTGAGAGAACTCTTGACAGAAACTGCTCTTTTTCAAGAACACCTCTGACCAGAACTATGGCTTGCCCCAAGGGCATCCAGCAGGGACAAGTGGAGGAGTGGGGGAATCAAACCCGGTTCTCCTAGATTAGAGTCTGCGCACTTCACCACGACACCAAACTGGCTGGAGTTTGAAATGACCAATAGGTGGCTAGTTCACAGTTCTCTTTCCCATCTAGACCAACCCTGTTCAGGTCTACTCTTGTTTTTCATCTCCTCTACAGCCTACAAAAAAGCCTGGATTACATTTTATACTGGGGTTAAGAGTGTCAGACAGGTATCTGGGAGACCCGGGTTCAAATCCCAAATCATGCCATGGAAACCCACTGGGTGACCTTGGGCCAGTCACACACTCTCAGCCTAACCTACCTCACAGGGTTGTTGTGAGGATAGAATGGAGGAGACGAGAACAAAGTAAGCTGCTTTGGATCCCCACTGGTGGGGTAAAAATGAATTAAATACATACATTTTGCTCAAATCAATGGGCTAGTCAACACTTTAAAAAGTTTCTAGTCCTTTTGATGGAAAGACAGACACAAAACTGAGTTCGATTAACTGGTGACATATGAAGAACCACAACGAATTGGGAAGCTTACACAGTAATGGGGTGGTATGCACATATAATTCATTTTAAAGCCTCTTCAGTTTCTCCAAGTAAGACTTTTATTTATACACTCTTTTTTCCCACATGAGCGACCAATTTCACTGGAGAAAAAGATGACACATTCATAATGCCTTCTTATTTATTATACCTTAATAGCTGCTTTGGTAATAGAAGAGCACTTCATAAATTAGAAACAGAGGACTTCCGGTAGAAAAGGAAACCCAAGATTCAAAGCTTTGAAAGTAATCTGATTACCCTAAAAAAATATTTGTTAGCATGACTATGGAAACTGCCGAAACCCACACCAATAAATCATTCTGAAGTGGACGGTACTGGGGAAAAGAATGAAACAAGTCAAACAATTATCTTCTAATTTGCTTGAATTTATCAAGTGGCTTCATAAACTGCTTTATATCGAGCAGCTGTAAGAACTGATAGTTGGAATTGTTGACTGTAGAACTATGACGATGGCCTTTCTTCAGTGATCATGTGGTGATGGCCGAATAAGATGTTTTTCTTCAAAGGAATAAGGTTATGTGGAGGATAAGTCTATCAATGGCTACTAGCCATGGTGACTGAGGGGAACCTCCACGTGAAGAGGCACTAAACCTGTGAATCCCAGAGCCATGAGGCAACATCAGGGGAAGGCTCTGGCCTCTGTTGTTGGCCTTCCAGAGGAACTGGCTGGCCACTGTATGAGGCAGGAGGCTGGACTGGATGGACCTTCCCTGATCTGATCCAGCAAGGCTCTTCTGATGTTCTTACAGATAGATTCATGGAGGATGTCTATTAATGGCTACTACCCATAGTGACAGAGGGGAACCTCCATATCCAGAGGCACTGAACCTCTGAATTCCAGAGCCAGGAAGCAACATCAGGGGAAGGCCTTGGCCTCTGTGGCCTGTTGTTGGCCTTCCAGAGGAACTGGTTGGCCACTGTGTGAGGCAGAATGCTGGACTGGATAGACCTTCACTGTTCTGATCCAGCAGGGCTCTTCTGATGTTCTTATAGATAGATTCATGGAGGATGTCTATTAATGGCTACTACCCATAGTGACAGAGGAGAACCTCCATATCCAGAGGCACTGAACCTCTGAATTCCAGAGCCAGGAGGCAACATCAGGGAAAGGCCTTGGCCTCTGCGGCCTGTTGTTGGCCTTCCAGAGGAACAGGTTGGCCACTGCATGAGACAGGATGCTGGACTAGATAGACCACTGGTCTGATCCAGCAGGGCTCTTCTGATGTCCTTATGTGCTGAACTATACCATGAGGGAGTACTAAAAAAGAAAAAAAACTAGTTTTCAAGATCTCTTATTCAGCTGTGTAGAAAACAGAATCAGTTGCTCCATCTGGAAAAGTCGGGCTTGGAGGGTAACAGAGCTTTTTCATGAAGCCAGAAAGAGATTCAACTCCCCCCCCAAAGATTAGATTCTCTTAGAAACTGCTGCCCAAACCGTTTCCAAGTAATGAAACGGTTTGTCTGAGGGGGCTGAACAGTACATAGCTGAAGAAACAAAAAGAGCCGCCTGCTTTCAACAGAGCTTATGGTTACAATATGCACATGTTCACTGATTAAAAAAACAAGCCATCAAAAAAAAATCTCTTATTCATCTGTGAAGAAGTTCAAACACAGCAACGAGCCATACTGGACACCTCAGAATGTTCTTTAGCACACGTAAGATTCAGTTACTTTTCCCCTCACAGAACTGGGATTTTTTTTGGTTTCGCCTACCAAAGACAAGAAAGACACTGTTGGGGAAATGGGAGCCATGAACTCCAGAGCAAAAAATAACCCTGAGGAGAAAAATACATATGCTGTTTATTATTATTTTTTTCCTCCACATGGAGAGCGTTTCACAAAAATAGTTCTCCACATGAGACTGAGGCGGTAATGCCATAGTAAACCTCTGCCACCTCACAAGAGACAGACGGCCATCATGTGGCCGTCCGATCTGGCGCCCGTTCTTTGAAACGCGTGCCATAATTCGACACGTCCAACTTTTCAGTTTAATGACATTATAGGCAAATCATTATCCCAGGTAAGTAGTGCGTGTGTCATTCCCCTCAAGCTTGGCATCCCCTTCCTTTGTTCCACAGTGACATTTTTAATACCAATATTAGGCCAATAGTGCCACCTACTCTTTTGAAGTAATCTAAACAGTAATTCACATTTTTAAAAGGGTTCTTTCAACATATAATTTAAAAGCTATGCACGGTATTTCTGGCCTGGTCCATTTAAACTGATCAGTTTCATCTCTTAAGGGCTCCCTCCCCCTCCCAAAAAAAACACAACACCCCTCCAAACACAACACATTCTCATAACAGAGAAGCCAATGTTGGATCATGCCAGTGGCCCATCTAGTCCAACACTCTGTCACACAGTGGCCAAAAATACCAGGGGCCATCAGGAGGTCCAGCAGTGGGGCCAGGACACTAGAAGCCCTCCCACTGTTGACCCCCCCCCAAGCACCAAGAATACAGAGCATCCCTTGCCCCAGCCTTAAGGACCTAAGAACATAAGAGAAGCCGGTGTTGGATCAGGCCAAAGGCCCATCCAGTCCAACACTCTGTCTGTCACACAGTGGCCAAAAATACCAGGTGCCATCAGGAGGTCCAGCAGTGGGACCAGGACACTAGAAGCCTTCCCACTGTTGCCCCCCCCCCGAGCACCAGGAAGACAGAGCATCCCTTGCCCCAGACATAAGAACATAAGAGAAGCTAATGCTGGATAAGGCCAATGGCCCATCCAGTCCAACACTCAGTGTCACACAGTGGCCAGAAATACCAGGGGTCATTAGGAGGTCCACCAGTGGGGCCAGGACACCAGAAGCCCTCACACTGTTGCCCCCCCCCCCAAGCACCAAGACAGAGCAAGTCAAGCAAGTCTGTTTCCTGCTACACAGAGCAAGGCCATGGCAAACCACTTCTGCTCATCTCTTGCCTTGAAAACCCCACAAGGGATTGCCAAAAGTCGGCTGCGACTCTGTAGCACTTAATTATTATTATTATATAGTTAATTTCCTTGCATACTTCCTCTCTGCCAAAGCCAGCAGTTTGACAGGTTATGCTTTTTTTGTTAATTAGGCCTTATCTAAAGGTGTGGTAGAATTCCTCCCTGTCCAGCGGAAGGATGGAAGTTTCCTCAAAAGTTTAATTCTTCGTTCTCCCTAGAAGACATTTGCCTGAGGTGTCAGAAAGTGGCTGACTCCATCTTAAATAATTTGAAATGGGTTGAGATAAAAGACTCTTGGAATCATCAATATATCTAATTCTCGATGTGGCCCCCACTGTGGATAATCCAAAGACTGGGGCCATGGATCGACAAGAGAAATCCTGCTAATAAACATGAGAGAAGGTTTGCAGCAAAATATATTATCACCATCATCGCACTTGTATCTTTAGGAAATGAATACCCTCAGCAGTGGCCATTGTGGGAGTTGCTAGGCAACCAGAACAGTATTGCCAGCATTGAAGCCTGGGTTTCTGTCTGTAAATGGCAGGGAGAGGGGGCAGGGCCTTTTCCAGGGTTGTGTTCACCTTGGAGAGAGGACTCATTACGGCCAGACAGCCCCAGCTGGCTCGCTATTGTTTAACAGAAGCCACCCCATGAAAGCCAGGGTTGTGTAAAGATTGGAGGTTCAGACTAGGATCTGGGAGACCCAGGTACGAATCCTCATTTTGCCACTGGGTGACCTTGGGCCAGTCCCATACTGTCACCCTAACCTACTTAATAGGGGTGCTGTGACGATAAAATGGAGTCTTTGGTACCCTTTGGAGAGAAAGGTTGGGTAACAGGGCTCTTTTTGTAGCAGGAACGCCTTTGCATATTATGCGACACACCCCTCATGTAGCCAATCCTCCAAGAGCTTACAGAGCTCTTCTTACAGGGGCTACTCTAAGCTCTTGGAGGATTGGCTACATTAGGGGTGTGTAGCCCAGGGCTCTTTTTGTAGCAGGAACGCCTTTGCATATTAGGCGACACACCCCTAATGTAGCCAATCCTCCGAGAGCTTACAGAGCTCTTCTTACAGGGGCTACTGGAAGCTCTTGGAGGATGGGCTACGTTAGGGGGGGGTTGCCTAATATGCAAAGGAGTTCCTGCTACAAAAAGAGCCCTGGGTATAAATGAAGTTAATAAATAATAAAGATAGCTGAAGATAGGGGGGAAACACAGAAAAGGTAGGTTGGCTGGTGGGTGAGAAGGAGAGAAGGAAGCCAAGAGAGGGAAGAGGATACAGGAGCTTCGGAGGTCTTTGTGTGTGTTCCACTTTATTATTTTGCCTGCTTTAGAAGTATTTTCTTCCATTTAACGCCAATGGCCCAAGTGAATGCTGGCTTTTACAAAGAAATAAAGGTTACTTAACTGATGCAGGAAGGAGAAGTTTAACTATGAGTGTTACTGAAACACCACTGTGCAAACGGCCACGCTCATTGGGAACCTCTGCCACACACAAAGGCCTGCGAGGGTCAGTAGCTGACAACCCACTTCACTTAAGGGTGTGTGTGTGTCATCTTGACTACAAAAGTAATAGCCAAGAGGTGCTCTTAGTTTCTGTTGAAAACAAACTTGGATAGACCTTCTGTCTCAAATATTTTTTTTACTCAGACACGTCAGCGATTCAAATCTCAGCAGAATATATTAGCAAACATCGAGTCTGAAAGCTTAGCCTTAGACAAATATTTAAATATTTTTGCTAGGACATTCTGAATGGAGAATTAAATAAAGCCATGCCAGTTCCTGTTGAGGGATTATTGCATAGTTCTACAGATGATTTGAAGCTGACTGGTACTAGAAAGGGAAAAGACTTGAAGAATTAACACTGCAAGTAATAGAAGCAGCCCACCTGGAACCCACTTAATCTCCATTTCCATATCCGTTTCTTGATGTTTCTTCTCTTTCTCCTGGATACTCTGAAGGAGTTCTCTGTATTTTGCAATTTGCTCTTCTTCGTCTTTGTGATGATGCTTGTGTCCAGCAAGGTCTGCTGACGGCGTTATAACCTCCTCTGTAAAGAAGAGGGGGGGACCCCAGAAACCATGAGAACCTCAAAATAGGCATAGTTGTTTTAAGCAATATGGCTGGGACAGACAAACAAAAACATCCAAGAAACAGGCTGGAGGTTCTGTTCCGTGTTAGACCACAATGATCCCCAAACCATCCTCGGACTGCATAGTAATTGTGTCACAGCAAGTGCAGAATTTGGTCAAACAGAGTCTTCCCTGGTTATACAGATCAGTGCATTCCTGGACATAATCTTATGCTCGGAAATGAATTAAGATAAGGAACCCCTTTCCACGAACCTGTTCACTTCTTTCAGAGACAGAACAACTAATTTTCACGTCAGTCTTGACGATCACACTCTTAAATGGAGCTGTTTACCTTGCTCCTGGTAGTCACTGATTACAGGTTGGAACCACACTAACGTTTAAGAACACAAGAGATGCCATGTTGGATCTGGCCAATGGCTCATCCAGTCCAACATTCTGTGTCACACAGTAACACAGTCAGACACAGTCATTTTCATCCACCTCTGTGGGAAAATACCCAAAATGTTTCCTGAAACCCTACTTCTGGGGGTCCCCTCTCCCCCAAGAACAGTCCTTGTGCCTTTGGGCCCAGAAACATCTAGTCTGGATCCAAGCTATCTTCTTCAGTGAGGGGAGGAGCGGAGGAGATTGGATTAATACCCCGCCCTTCACAACTCAAAGGTGTCTCAGAGCGGCTTACAAACTCCTTTCCCTTCCCCTCCCCACAACAGACACCCTGTGAGCCAAGCCCATCAAAAAGATAATCTCTGAAGTGGCAGAACAGTAAGGAATGCAAGAACAATCCACAGAAGAGGCCCAGTCAGAGGCCAAATTCTAACACGTGAGGCCGTGCCGACGAACAGCACCAGCAACTAGAGATCGGTTTTCCATTTCATTTAAATTTTTGATACTTTTGACCAGATCAAGCCCTCTGTATAGCCCCACTATCCCTTCACTCCAAAGAGTTGCGCCATACAGCAGCTGCACTCCTATTCTTGCTGCAGAGACTGAAATGGCTGCCGGAATAGACTGCCCACCAGTCATAATAGAAGAATCGTGGAATGACTGTGGCGGGTGGTGTCGTAGTTAAAGAGTATTGGACTAGGAATTAGGAGACCCAGGTTCGAATCTCCACTCTGTTATGGAAGCCTGCTTGGGTGACTTTGGGCCAGTCACACTGTCTCAGCCTCATCTACCAATTTGGTGTAGTGGTTCAGTGCGCGGACTCTAATCTGGGAGAACTGGGTTTGATTCCCCACTCCTCCACTCGCATCTGCTGGATGACCTTGGGCGAGCCATAGTTCCGTCACAGCTGTCCTTGAAAAAGAGCAGTTTCTGTCAGAGCTCTCTCAGCCCCACCTATCTCCCAGGCTGTCTGTTGTGGGGAGGGAAAGGGAAAGGAGTTTGTAAGCCGCTCTGAGACTCCTTCGGTAGTGAAAGGCTGGGTATAAATCCAATCTCCTCCTCCTACCTCACAGGGTTGTTGTGGGAATAAAGAGGAGGAAAGGGGAATGCTGTAAGCCGCTTTGGGCTCCACTGGGGAGAATGGTGAGGTATACAAGAAGTGACCACTGTGGGGTGTGGGGGGGGGAGGTATTTGTGAGTTTCCTGCATTGTGCAGGGGGTTGGACTAGATGACCCTGGAGGTCCCTTCCAACTCTTATGATTCTATAAATTAAAGATTTACCACTTTTATATACAATATCTGCAAGTGTTTTGTGAACACATGCGAGTAAATACAGAACATTCTTTCCGTCTATGGCAGCTTTTACATTTTTAGTCAAACTGCTGAGGTTTGTTTTCCCCCCCTCCCCTGTTTGTGCTCGATGCCACAATAAACACACCGCTCGGAATTCTGTCGTGTGCCTTATAGCTCAATGGGTAAAACATCAGGAATCTGTTAAAGGAATGGCTGAGTACCGTTCTGTTGAAAGCTGATTTTTTTTTGAAAACGTTATTAAAGTCCAAAACTTTCCAGGTTGAAAATACGCCAGCCCGCGCCTGGCCTGGTGACACAGCTTAAACCGGGATTTTTAACTGCCGCTGAAAGGGGCACTTACGTGTCGCCTGCGGGATCGCAATGAAAACAAAGACAGGGAAAAATTACAAGACTTTTAACTCAGAGCACTAAGTTATAATGCTTCGGTCTAATGGAGAGGGCGAATTTGGGGGGGGGGTTTGGTATGAAGAGGGTGGTGGCTACAAGCATGGATGGCTTCAAGAGGGAATTAGATAAGCATCTGGAGCAGAGGTCCATTGGTAGCTATTAGCCACAAGGTATAGATAGGGACTCCGGGGCAAGTGACGATCTGTATTTTTGGTGCTGGGGGGGGGGTCAACAGTGGGAGGGCTTCTAATGTCCTGGCCCCACTGGTGGACCTCCTGATGGCACCTGGTATTTTTGGCCACTGTGTGACACAGAGTGTTGGACTGGATGGGCCATTGGCCTGATCCAACATTGGCTTCTCTTGTGTTCTTATGCCTTATTTCTTTTTGTCCGTCCTGAACCTACTGCCCATCAGCTTCAATGGATGCCTTTGAATCTGGCCTGGTGGCTAAAAACGATTTCCCCGACACCACCTTCATTTAGTTAAGCCCCACTTTGGATCAGCTGATACAACTACTCAAACGGAAGTGATGGGAAACCTTGAGATTAGATGGCCGCGATGTGCCTTACTTGGGGCTGCCTTTGGTGACATTTCAATCCAGAACATGTAGAGGAAGAAGAGGAGGAGATTGGATTTATACCCCGTCCTTCACTCGAAGTCTCAGAGCGGCTTACATTCTCCTTTCCCTTCCCCTCCCCACAACAGACACCCTGGGAGGTAGGTGGGGCTGAGAGAGCTCTGAGAGGACTGCTCTTGAGAGAACAGCTCTGACAGAACTAGGGCTTGCCCAAGGTCACATCAGCAGCTGCAAGTGGAGGCGTGGGGAATCAAACCTGGTTCTCCCAGATTAGAGTCTGCACACTTAACCACTGCACCAAACTGGATCTTGATAGTTTACCTGGAGTGTGATGGTTTACCCGGAACTAATCTCTTTGCACAAAATAGCCCACATTTTGAACAAGATCCAACCAATTTATGCACATTTAAATTTCACAGATTTCAATGGGAGTATTAAGTACTTGTCTGTAACTACTCCGTTTGAAATGAATGGAACTTAAGAGCTTAATTTTGGTTGGATCGTTCCTTATTTTCTTTTACAAATGGATACAAAATGGGCACTGTCTTTGGAAAAAACAAAACATTAACCAAGAAAAATCTGGAAGAGGGCATTGCCAAAGGGGGGGGAGAAAGTAGATTATTAGACCTGGCGTCCCTACTTAATGGAGCTGTTTCGTTCCTGTGATTCACCTATAATGGCCTTCATTTAGCAAAATGCAAACATCTGAAATCAGCCTTTTATTTAAAAAAAGAGAGATTGGAAACTACTGACCAGAGTTTTCGACCACTTTACTTGCTGTTAAATGAGCATCAGACATGCTCATCCCTGGACTTTAAATAAAAAGAAAACAGATGTGCACAGGACAGCTCCACAAAAGTGAGGGCCAAAGAATCCATAGCAATCTGGTGGTAAGCTGTCACCAGCGTTCCCTCTAAGCTGAGCTAGTGTGAGTTAGTTCACAGTTTTTTAGCCTCCGGCTCACCTATTTTTGCCTCAGCTCAGGAAGGAGGGCTCCAGAGCAAACTATTCTATGCAGCAACCAAACTTTAATGCCAGTCGCTCACAAAGTAGGATTTTTGCTCACAAGACTCCACAGTTTAGAGGGATTGTTGGTTGTAAACCCCTGAGTTTATCTCAGAACGCCTACGACCCTAGGCCAAGGAGGACCACTCCTGAACACCGATGCAAACGGAAGCTTTTAGAAGTGCCACATAAGAAATGCAGATTTAATTTTTATTTAGATAACATTTATCCCACACTCTCAGCTAAGTAGATCAAGATGGGAGGCCGTGTTAGCCTGTCTATAGCAGTAGAAAAGAGCAGGAGTCCAGCAGAACCTGAAAGACTAACAAAATTTGTGGCAGGGGAGGAGCTTTCGTGAGTCACTGCTTGTTTGTTCAGATACCTGAAAGAGATGCCGGTCTCTGAAGAAGTGAGCCATGACTCACGAAAGCTCCTCCCCTGCCACAAATTTGTTTAGTCTTTAAGGAGCTCCGGGACTCTCGCTCTTTTCTACTGTCTCAGTTAAGTAGGCTTTTGAAACAGAATACTTAAGTAAAAACACTACTTAACTGAGACAGTAGAAAAGGGTAAGAGTCCAGCAACACTTTAAAGACTAACAAAATTTGGGGCAGGGGAGGAAAAGAAGAAGAGAAAAGATTGGATTTCTACCCTGCCCTTCACTACACAAAGGAGTCTCAGAGCAGCTTACAAACTCCTTTCCCTTCCCCTCCCCACCACAGACATCCTGTGAGGTAGGCGGGGCTGAGAGAAATCTTGACAGAAACTGCTCTTTTTCAAGAACTACACTGTTACAAGCACGTTCTGAGCATTTTCGAAAAAAGGACAAGTTTTGATGCTCAATGTGTGTGTGTGGCTTTTTTTTTGTAAAAAGAAAAAGCCTGGCAGGAACTCATTAGCATAATAGGCCACACCCAAGAGCAGACACTCATTAGCATATTGGGCCACACCCGGCAACACAGCTCATTAGCATATTAGGCCACACCCATGCTTTCCCTTGGTGGGGAGCCCGGGCAAGCCCCCCCTTGAAGGGAGGGGAAGACAGCTTAAACTGCCTTCCCTTGGCTTGCCTGGGCGCCCTGCAGTTGCAGAGAGCCCAGGCAATCCGGCCCTTGGGCAGGCCAGAGAAGGCACGGGGAGGCATTTAAATACCTCCCCGATCCTTCCAGCCCCCCCCCAACCCACCATCTCAGAGTTGCGGGGGGGGGGTTGCTCTCCAGGCCTTCCCTCTGTAGCCAGGCACGCAGAGGTTTTGGCTGTCGTGGGCGTGGCCAGCTCTGAAGCCAGCCGGAACTCCGTTCCTGTGCGTTCCTGCCCCGAAATAGCCATATACAGGGTTATTTTGGGGCAGGAACACACAGGAACGGAGTTCCGTCTGGCTCCTGAGTTGGCCACGCCCAGCAGGAACTCATTAGCATATAGGCCACACCCGATAGCAGAAACTCATTAGGATTGGCTACATTAGGGGTGTGTGGCCTAACATGCAAAGGAGTTCCTGCTACAAAAAAGCCCTGGGTTTTGACAACAAACAAGGTAAACAGAATAAGGGAAAGGTGGGTGTGGCTGGATGACCACACCTCTGGTAACACAGGGGTGCAGCCTAACGTGCAGTTAATCCCAGTTCTAGCAGTTTAAAACTCATGCTTTTTCTGTTAGGTTAGAAATTCAGACCACATATTCAAACATTGCCTGAGAGTCAGATGCAAAAATTACTATAAGGGTGATTTGCAGAGAGCCGGGGCGGGGATGTGGGGGGACACACACACACACGCAAGAAAGCAATCGCTGCATCCCAAGACAGCCTGCTTAGGGAGAATTCCTGACCGCTTTGAACATGAGCATGTTCACAAGAGTTCTCTTCTTCAGACCACTGGTGAGTGGACACACATTCCCTCAGGAATGCATTTAAAAAGCAGGGCGACTCGGTCCCTTAACCAAACCCTCCGTTTTGTAGGTTTTAAATCTGTCTGTGTGATTTGCTAAACTGGACTGCAGTTTCATTTAGCGAGAGATTGGGGATTTTTAAAAACCCTAAAAGCTTCATTATTGAGAGAGTGACTACTTATTTAAGTCTCTCATTTGGGAGAGAAAGGAAAAGAAAGAGATTTGTGAACTAGCTTTTCGCTCCCGCGCTGCACAGAACACGGGCAGTTAGACGTACCCTCTTCCTCGCTGGACGAAGCCAAGTAAGCTTGGAAGTCCATGTCCAGCAGTTCGTCTCTCCTAAAAGTTCTGCTCAGGGACGTGACTCTTTCGTGATCCGTCTCATCCCAAGTGATGTCCACCTTAAGGGAGAGCAAAAGAGAACTCTGTTAGATCGTGCATTCTCAACACACTTTTTGAAACCACATAAAACTAGGAGCTTAAGAGAAGCCATGTTGGATTGAAGAAGAAGAGAAAAAGAGATTGGATTTAAAACCCCACCCTTCACTAATCCTCTAAAATTCTTACAAACAGTAAATTTTCTTTCTGTCTTCCTTGTACTAATATTGGATTGTAGACAAATAGCATAAAGGTCACAAATCTGCATTCTTGTACTAATATTGGATTGTGCTATTTTTATGCTTTATGCTGTTTGTCTACAATCCAATATTAGTACAAGGAAGACACAAAGAAAGTTTACTGTTTGTAAGAACTTTAGATGACTGGACTGTGCTTGTCAACACTAAGAACATAAGAGACGCCGATGTTGGATCAGGCCAAAGGCCCATCTAGTCCAACACTCTGTCACACAGTGGCCAGAAATACCAGGTGCCATCAGGAGGTCCACCAGTGGGGCCAGGGCACTAGGAGCCCTCCCACTGTTGACCCCCCCAAGCACCAAGAAGACAGAGCATCACTTGCCCCAGAGCCCCTATCTATACCTTGTGGCTAATAGCCACTGATGGACCTCTGCTCCATATGCCTATCTAATTCCCTTTTGAAGCCGTCCATGCTTGTAGCCGCCACCCTCTTCATACCACCCCCCCCCAAATTCGCCCTCTCCATTAGACCGAAGCACCACCACTGTGGAATCATCTTGTGATGTGTATTCTTGTACGAATGTACAGAAATGTATTAGTATTGATCTATTTGTTGAAAATCTATAAAACGGTAATATTATCTTTGTAAATATAGCACGGTTGCCACTGACTAATTTCTACTCACTTATTCCGTGATCTCTTTGGTTATTCTACATTTAAGGATACGTCTACCCATCAAGGTACAATTCTGATGTATTTATTTCCTTCACTGTGTTCTCCCCACACACCCGAATTAAACCCAAACAAATGGTAACCGTTCATTATGCTGTATGCTAATTTACTGCTCACCCTCTGTCTATATGTATGGACTGGCAACTTCCACTCCATTGTATCTGAAGAAGTGGGCGTGCACACAAAGGCTTACACCTTGAATAAAACTTTGTTAGTCTTAAAGGTGCCGCTAGACTCAAGCTTTGTTCTTTCATCTGACAGCATGATAGCCATTAAAGAGCATCTTCCCTTACAGATTCGAATTATATTATACAAACGACTTATGCCAAAACAGACAAGTTGGTCTCAGGAGCACAAACCACCTTCACAAACAGAGGTGCTTAATTCTTTGGGGAAAATAAACTGTGTCCATAAACTGCAAAGCGAGATTTAAAGAAGCCAATTTCAGAATCTGTTCCACATCAAGCTGCTGCTGCTGCTGCTGCTTCTTCTTTTTTTAAACAAGGGGATTAAAATATTTTGTTTTCAAGCACAGAAACATCTTGATCGTGAGTCCAGGGGACGTGCCTGAACGTCCAAGTGCCTTTGGAGTCCTGTACTTCAGCACGCAGATTGAAAAGGAAACAGGGCAACAAAATAAAATCCCTTTGTTAATTTCCATTTCTTCTGATCGTCAGTCGGCATTGTCGATCGTGCCCTGGCATCTGCGTGATGAAAAGACGGGCCCCATCGAATTGCGGGCACTAGCCCGCCCGCCCCCTCGGGGAGGGGGTCTGTAAACAGTTCAGGCCTGGCTTTTGACAACTCCAAGAGCCCTCCCGTCCTCAGCGCAATCACGGCTGTATTTACATAACCGACAAATTAAGAACACGCAAAGCCGAAGCCCTTCTGAAGGGCTAGGAAAACATCATTAAGGTACCTTTGATGTCGCTACGGCAGCAGACGTGAAGAACTTGGGTTTATACGGCGCTCCGTCCGTTTCTGAGGCCACGTCCTTTGGCTCGCCGTCGAATGTCACGTCATCTGGAATAAATCTTGAAAGGCAAAAGAAAAGCAAGTGTTGTTCAAATCGCGTGTCGCACGCCTTCAAAGGGAGAAAACGGCCGTCGCCCCGGTTCCCTTCCAAATAATGCTGTACGCACTGGCCGCCAGATAAACAGGGACCTTGTGGTTCAGGCTAAGTGAGGGAGAGGAGGATGACCCTGTTGCTGAACACTGGGAGTGTTCAGGGCTGTTCTTAGGTTCCTAAGCGATTAAAATGTGGAATTCGCTACCAGAGGATGTAGTGATAGCCACAGGAATAGAAGATAGCTAGATTCATGGCCACGGGCACAGATAGCTGTAAAAGAGGATTAGACAGGTTAATGGAGGAGACATCTATCAATGGCTCCTAGCCATGGTAGCTGAGGGGAACCTCCACATTCAGGGGCACTGAACCTCTGAATCCCATAGCCAGGAAGCAACATCAGGGGAAGGCCTCGGCCTCTCGGCCTTGTTGTTGGCCCTCCAGAGGAACTGGTTGGCCACTGTGTGAGGCAGGAGGCTGGACTAGATGGACCAGTAGTCTGATCCAGTAGGACAGCTCCAGTGCAAATGGTTACGTTCCTTTTATTGGTGCTGAACTGAAGAAGACGGAGAACAACCTTCACGAGCTGGAACACATAATAAGGCCTTGGAGGACGCAGGCCTGACCTCGGCCTTTTCTTTGCAGGCATGAAGTTGGAACGTCAGTCCCCGACATCTCCTGGATAGGCGGAGGTAGGAGGGAGGACAGTTCCGTGCTACCAGCTTCACTCTCTTGATGGTGCTCTGCGTCTACCCTAGGATCGGCTGGCTACACGGACTCTAGACCTGCAACAGGTGGAGCAGAGGTCCATCAGTGGCTATTGGCCACAAGGTATAGATGGAACACTCTGTCTGGGGCAGCGAGGCTCTATATTCTTGGTGCGGGGGGGGGCAGCAGTGGGAGGGCTTCTGGAGTTCTGGCCCCGCTGGTGGACCTCCTGAGGGCCCCTGGTGTTTTTGGCCACTGTGTGACCCAGAGTGTTGGACTGGATGGGTTCTCTTATGTTCTTATGTCTGGGGCAGTGATGCTCTGTCTTCTTGGTGCTTGGGGGGCAAGAGTGGGGGGGCTTCTGGAGTTCTGGCCCCGCTGGTGGACCTCATGATGGCCCCTGGTATTTTTGGCCACTGTGTGAAACAGGGTGTTGGACTGGATGGGCCATTGGCCTGATCCAACATTGGCTTCTCTTATGTTCTTATGTCTGGGGCAGTGATGCTCTGTCTTCTTGGTGCTTGGGGGGCAAGAGTGGGGGGGCTTCTGGAGTTCTGGCCCCGCTGGTGGACCTCATGATGGCCCCTGGTATTTTTGGCCACTGTGTGAAACAGGGTGTTGGACTGGATGGGCCATTGGCCTGATCCAACATTGGCTTCTCTTATGTTCGTAGGTCCTTAAGGTATAGACAGGAACTCTCGGTCTGGGGCAAGTGATGCTCTGTATTCCTGGTGCCTGGGGGTGGGGCAACAGTGGGAGGGCTTCTAGTGTCCTGGCCCCACTGCTGGACCTCCTGAGGGCACTGGTATTTCTGGCCACTGTGTGACACAGAGTGTTGGACCGGATGGGCCATTGGCCTTATTCAACATTGGTGTCTCTTTTATTATCTCTCTCTCTAATCTATCCAATCTATCCTATCCATCTATCTATCCTATCCTTCCATCTATCCATCTATCCTATCCTTCCATCTATCCATCTATCCTATCCTTCCATCTATCCTATCCTTCAATCTATCCTATCTATCCATCTAGCCTATCTATCCATCTATCTATCCATCCATCTATCTATCCGTTGTTCTCCTCATGCAAGATTTCCGCCAGTTTCTTTTCTCTACCTGCAAAATCCTCACAGGCAGCTCAAGTTTCTGACGTCCCCCTGGGGCTGAAGTCTGGGGTGGGGAGGTACAGCAGGCTATAGTAGGAGGGGGACGGCCTGTGGGTCAGTGGAAGAATATCTGCTTGGCATGCAGAGTGTTCCAGGTTCAATCCCCGCTATCTCCAGTTAAAGCAGGAGGTGATGTGAAAGACCTCCGCCTGAGACCCTGGAGCGCCACTGCCAATCTGCGCAGACGATACTGGCCTTGCCCGAGTCTGAGCAGACAGTACTGACTTTGATGGACCAGGGGTCTGATTCGGTATAGGGCAGCTTCATGTGTGTTCATGTGTCCAAGAGGAAGAGAGGACCACGTTGGGCCCCACTCATCTGGGGGAGAAATGGGGGCTTGGGAATGTTTTAAACAAAGACGCTTTCCATTCCGTGAGTGACGCTACTCTCGTGGCCCATGGAACCCATCCCGTCGTGCGCAATTTGGTATTTTCACTTCTTTTAGCCCTCTTCATGCTTTACAAAGCACAGAAGGCAATAATGTGGCATTTGTTTGGCAGTTTGGCATAACTTGAAATTAGTTTGCAGCAAACCTTGCTGAAAGGTGAAAGTTAAGGCTTTGTTGAGAGGGCAAGTTCAGACTGAAGATACATTTAACTCTCGGCTGCATCTAACCTGCGGGAGAACGGCAGATCAGGAGAACCAGCGACCCTCTGAGAATTCCTAACGTGAGGTTAAGGATTTATGAGAACGTTTTCACCACCTGAGGGTGAGCTATTTTGGAATCCGCCCCCCCTTTGGCCGGCCAAATCTCTCTGACCCCCCCCCATCTATGCCGACGGAATTTGTAATTATGCCTCTCCCACCCCTAGCCTCCCAGCTGTAGAAGGAGAGATAAAATCTTCCCTACCCTCTTCTCAGACATTGGTCTGGTTTCAGCTCCAGATTCATTCTCCCTGTTGTACTACTGATGTAGTACTATTTATTATTGAATAAGCTGTAATGTTGAGTTTTCCTGCCATGTTAGATGCTGGCCCAACCGTCAGTTGACCAATCTGGACTGGGCTCCCAACTGACCAGGTGGCCAAGGTTCTGAGCCGACATCACAAGTGGGTTCTGGATTTGTTCTCTGGGGAAGAATCCATCCCTACTGATGTTGCCTTGGCAACCCACATAACTGGAAGAAAACAGATTTCAACACCTAAGGCTTGAGGGGAATCAACGTGGTGTCAACTAAAACTGGTCAGAAGGATTGTGATGTGTGCAGGTAGTTGAGGACCACACTAGAGAGCTTTAGGAGGGTGTGTTTTGAGCAGACGTTTTGAGAACGTTGTTGGTACCTCATGACGTCTCATGGAAGTTTGAAATCCTGGAATAACTTGGAATAATTAACGGAGAGAAGAGGAACCTGGGGCAATAGAACATGCTACCAAAATTGCAGATAGTGCCAACAAAGAAGTGGAAGTCAAAGTTGGGTTTATCATGACGGAAGCAAGATGCCATGTTTGTCTAAGGGCGGTACAGCAGCACCCAGTGTTCAGAATGCCACTACCATATAAGCATGATATATTTGTGTTGAACTAAATATACAAAGAGTATGAACTGTCGTATACAATCCATGTGTTGACAAGAGAAAGAATGCATGAAGCAGAGTCTCAGCTATGAAAGGTCTTTGAAAACCTGGCAAAAAATGAAGAATAAGAAGAGCCCTGCTGGATCAGACCAGTGGACCAACTATCTAGTCCAGCATCCTGTCTCACACAGTGGCCAACCAGTTCCTCTTAACGGCCAACAACAGGGCATAGAGACGGAGGCCTTCATAAGAACATAAGAAGAGCTCTGCTGGATCAGACCAATGGTCCATCCATTCTAGCATCCTGTCTCACAGTGGCCAACCAGTTCCTCTGGATGGCCATAACAGGTCATAGAGGCTGAGGCCTTCCTTCTGATGTCAAGAACATAAGAACATCAGACGAGCCCTGCTGGATCAGACCAATGGTCCATCCATTCTAGCATCCTGTCTCACACAGTGGCCAACCAGTTCCTCTGGATGGCCGCAACAGGTCATAGAGGCTGAGGCCTTCTTCTGATGTCAAGAACATAAGAACATCAGAAGAGCCCTGCTGGATCAGATCAGTGGTCCATCTAGCCCAGCATCCTGCCTCACCCAGTGGCCAACCAGTTCCTCCAAATGGGCAACAGGGCAGAGAGGCCGAGGCTTTCCCCCGATGTTGCCTCCTGGCTCTGGGATTCAGAGGCTTAGTACCTCTGAATGTGGAGGTTCCCCTCAGTCACCATGGCTAGTAGCCACTGCTAGACCTATCTTCCATGAATCTATCTAATCCCCTTTTAAACCTGTTCATCTTCGTGGTCTTTATGACATATTGGAGTCTATGACATATCTGTTTTATCTGTTTCAGTTTGTTTTAAAGGTGTCGTATGTGTTACCTTTTTGTACACTGCCCTGAGTCCGGTGTTTCCAGGGGAGGGTGGTTTAAAATTGAGATAAGAATAATAATGATGATGATGATAAAGGTTTTATGCAGAAGCAGCTTTGCCGTGTTCTAAAACTGTAGCCAGTGAATTGGCACTGAAGAAGAAGAAGGTTTTTATTGTATTTAGCCATAGGCCATTACAAACCACGAACAGAGAAGAATGCAATAAAACATAGAAAATTGTATAAAATAAGATACAGTCTAAAACATTATAAATCCATAAAACCGAAGTTATAAACAGTTAATTAATTCACAACATACCCACTAAAATCAATATTAGCTAGGAGCAGCGTTGGCCCGTATTTTCCTTGCATCCAAGGCGAATAGAGCCATTCTATTGGATACATCAGCATTGGCATCGGCTAACAAAAATATAATCTTCTCTGGGACTGAGTAAAAGCTTAAGACTGGTAAAATACCAGATAAAATTTTTGACCTAGGCTGGGAATACAATGGGCAATCAAAAATGTAACGGGAGAGATCCTCAATAGCAGAAGAGCCACAAATACATGAACGCTGTGCCTTGGGTGTTCTACTATAGCGGCTGACCAGTACGGCCGTAGGCATTGATTCAAAGCGCAGAGATGTAAAAGCTGCTCTAAGGTTATGGTTATCTATATTAACCAGGTAAGGTGATCTAAAATGATCATTCTTAAATGATTTAAACCAGGTAGCAGACTGTGATTTTAAAATTGAGTGTCTATCTAACAGAGCGTCATGCTTAGATACCATACTCTGAGATCTGAGTTATTTGTTGAAGAACTAAGGAGGTCATCAGGAATGGAATATCTTAGTACATAAGAACATAAGAGAAGCCAATGTTGGATCAGGCCAATGGCCCATCCAGCCCAACACTCTGTGTCACACAGTGGCCAGAAATACCAGTGCCATCAGGAGGTCCACCAGTGGGGCCAGGACATTAGAAGCCCTCCCACTGTTGACCCCATAGTAGTAGGTTACTGAGAAAACAAGAATGATCTAAGTCTTTGGATAGCATTGAATTAGTTGGCACTGAAATCCTCTCCCTCCAGAGGACCATGTGACGCTGACCCCTCCACGAACCCCGAGAGGTGCTTCCATCCCCGTTCCTTCCTCGGCTCCTCTGCGTTCTCTGAAACTTGTGCAGTGAGCCCGTCGAAATTATTCTTCCCTACTTCTGACTTCACTTCGAGAGAAGAGATCGGTGGGCACTACTGGTGACTGGCCCATTAAGACCATGCTTGTGGCGATGGCTCTTTCGGAATCTACTTTAGACTCTCCTCCTTAAGATTTGTTTCTTGGACTAGTGTCCAAGATACATTTATTGGACTCGCGCCCCCCCCCCCCCAAGTCACAGACCCTCGAGGGTTGTCAGGGCAAGAGACGTTCAGAGGTGGGTTTGCCATCGCCTGCCTCTGCGTAGTGGCCCTGGTTTTCTTTGATGATCTCCCATTCAAATACGAACCAGGGCCGACTCTGCTTAGATGACAAGATTGGGTTGTTGCTGTTGTTGTTCAGTCGCGCAGTCGAGTCCGACTCTCCGCGACACCGTGGACCAGATCTTGCCAGGCCCTCCTGTCCTCTGAAGTTGGCTCAATTTCATGTTCATTGCATCTGTGACACTGTCTAACCATCTCATCCTTTGCCGTCCCTGTCTTCTTTGGCCTTCAGTCTTTCCCAGCATCAGGGTCTTCTTCTCCAGTGAGTGCTCCCCTCTCATTGGGTGGCCAAAGTATTTGAGCTTCAGGTTCAGGATCTGGCCTTCCAGGGAACAGTCAGGGTTGATTTCCTTTAGGATTGACTGATTGGATCTCCTTGCAGTCCCGGGGACTCTCAAGAGTCTCCTCCAGCACCAGATTGGGTTAGCCTGGGCCACCCAGGTCAGGGAATGCTCCCATCTGCCCTGCAAACACTAACGTTTCCCTGAGCCCTGCGGAGTATTCGGTACCAGGGCCCTGCCATTGAGACTGAAGTTTTGTCTGACTTTCTGGGGAAATGCAGAATGAAAAGAACCACACAGATCTAGTCTTCGGGGATGGAAGAAGTCTGGCGGTTTGGGGCAAGGGATGCTCTGTATACTTGGTGCTTGGGGGGGGGCAACAGTGGGAGGGCTTCTAGTGTCCTGGCCCCACCCCTGGTATTTCTGGCCACTGTGTGACACAGAGTGTTGGACTGGATGGGCCACTGGCCTGATCCAACACTGGCTTCTCTTATGGTGTTACGGAAATTACGGCAGCTTCGTGGCTAGAGTCATCAAAAACCGGACGTATACCATTCACCACCCTTCACACCACTCTGCTCGTCCCACCTCCAACCAAATAACCAATGAGCTTTAGGCTGATGCAGAAACCCAGGCGAGGCACGAGGCTCAACATTTGCAACTCCCGCTTACACCCTGTTGGGGGTGGGCGCAGAATTCTGCTGTACAAGCTCCCAGGCCCTTGCCATTCACACCTGAGTCCCCTGAAGACACTCGAAGAGTCCCATCGCGCTGGAAACCTTAAGCACTTCCCGTGGCATCAGCACGAGAAGACGCTTAAATCGAATGATTTTTTTAACTAATATTCTAAAAAACATATTTTTTTACATGCCCTGACCTGGGTAGCCCAGCCCAGGGAAGCCCGATCTCGTCAGATCCTGGAAGCTAAGTAGGGCCGACCCCAGCAAGTACTTGGAGGGGAGACCTCCGAAGGATACCAGGGCCGGGATACAGAGGCAGGCAATAGCAAGTCACTTCTCTGAATGTCCACTAGGGGTCGCCAGAGGTCAATCATGACTTCCAGGCACCGGGGATGGAAGAAGTCTGGGGCAGGGGATGCTCTGTATCCTTGGTGCTTGGGGGGGCTCCTGGAGTTCTGGTCCCACTGGTAGGCCTCCTGATGGCCCCTGGTATTTTTGGCCACTGTGTGACAGAGAGTGTTGGACTGGATGGGCCACTGGCCCGATCCAACACTGGCTTCTCTTAGGGTGTTACGGAAATTACAGCAGCTTCGTGGCTGGAGTCGTCAAAAACCGGACGTATACCATTCACCACCCTTCACACCACTCTGCTCGTCCCACCTCCAACCAAATAACCAATGAGCTTTAGGCTGATGCAGAAACCCAGGCGAGGCACGAGGCTCAACATTTGCAACTCCCGCTTACACCCTGTTGGGGGTGGGCGCAGAATTCTGCTGTACAAGCTCCCAGGCCCTTGCCATTCACACCTGAGTCCCCTGAAGACACTCGAAGAGTCCCATCGCGCTGGAAACCTTAAGCACTTCCTGTAGCGTCAGCGCGAGAAGACGCTTAAATCGAATGATTTTTAACTAATATTCTAAAAAAAAAAAAAAATTACATGCCCTGACCTGGATAGCCCAGGGAAGCCCGATCTCGTCAGATCCTGGAAGCTAAGTAGGGCCGACCCCAGCAAGTACTTGGAGGGGAGACCTCCGAAGGATACCAGGGCCGGGATACAGAGGCAGGCAATAGCAAGTCACTTCTCTGAATGTCCACTAGGGGTCGCCAGAGGTCAATCATGACTTCCAGGCACGCATGTACACACACACACACACACACATTAAAATTAAAAAAAATTACACAGGCTGCCCGGTCATTCTACCTCAGGTCCACAAACGAACAGCTGCTCTCGAACTCCAGCCCGTCGCATTCTTCATAAATCTTATTGGCCGTTTCTGCAGAGTCACATTCTACGACGGCGTAGAAATACCTCAGTCGTTTGAACTGGTACTCTCTCAGCGTCTCCTTATAAATGCTGCAGAAATGGAGAGGGCTGAGTCAACGTGACAGAAATTAAGGAGCCGTGAAGGAATGCACCGCAATCTAATCCCTTCATTAGAGCCAGTGGGGCATAGAGGTTCGTGTGTCAGACCAGGATCTGGAAGACCCAGGTTCGAATCCCCAATTCATGGCATCCAAAAAAGAAACAGGGAAACTCTGTTCCACACATGGAACTCACAGATGTTAGGATTCTGCTGTTGGAATCTTTTTTTTTTAAAAAAAAAATTTCATAACACACAAACAAACAAACACAAACGGGGGCATTCCATTCAATGCGCGAATTACATCTGTTACAAATTCACCTTGCCTATTTGTTATAGCTTATATATTCCATTTTATATTATTAAAACAGTAGTTAGAATTCTGCATATCTCAGCAGATTAATACCTTATATGTCCTCAGCAAGTTTTAATACTTCGCAATTTATTTATATCGATCTTCATACCAGTTGTAGAATCTTGAACAGGTATTTCCAAACGTTGTTTCTAGTCGACCTTTCAAAACTAGACTCAATTTATCCATTTCCGCTGTTTCCATAATTTTACCTATAATTTCTTCTTTTGTGGGGGTTTGGGCTGTTGGCCGTAATTTTACCTATAATTTCTTCTTTTGTGGGGGTTTGGGCTGTTGGCTGTGATTCGGGCATCCCCCCCACAGCTAGGGGTCACTTGCATGATGATACAAATCTAGGGCACAATTAACCCGCCAAGAAAGTAGCACTTCAACGAGAGGCGGTGACAATTCCTTCTATGCTTCCCCTTTAAGAGTAGTGTTTGCAGGCAGTCAATGACAGCCTGTCCACAGAGGTCGCTGCACGGAGAACGCCTTGCTCTCCAGGTAAGGACCACACCTCACTTGATTCCCCCAAATCACGAGTAGCAGAAGTGCTTAAGCTAACAAATGCTTCCCTCTTCCAATTTCCAGGACGGAACAGACTACGCATTTCTGCCCTAGCAAGAGCACTGTTAGGCATCCAATGCTGGGGGAAAGCGCCATCTAGTGGCAAAGGACTACTGCAAAATAACTGGTCATTGCAAATTAAGGTGTCTTCCGCACATCAATGGGGTTTTAGCAGCAGTAATGGGGTTTTCACATGGCAGGCTTTCCCACGCCCACCCATGCCCCAACCCCGCCCCCCCTTTCTCTGGGCCACCAAGGCTTTCACGTTTTGGATAAACGATGGCTGAGGGGTGACATGATTGAGATTTATAGGATTATGCATGGGATAGAGCAGGTCGAGAAAGAAATTCTTTTCTCCCTTTCTCACCATACAAGAACTCGTGGGCACTCCATGAAAATGCTGAGCAGTTGGGTTAGAACAGATAATAGGAAGTCCTTCTTCACCCAAAGAGTGATTGACACGTGGAATTCACTGCCACGGGATGTGGCGGCGGCTACAAGCATGGACAGCTTCAAGAGGGAATTAGATAAGCATAATCAGTCAAAAAAAGTCTCCAGACCTTTCCTTTGTGGAGATATAAGGGAAAAGGCATATATTTGCATGAGAAAGAGCTAGAGACTCACTTGTTTAATGAAAGCTAGGCATTCAGAGAAAATCCTACACTTATAATGACAATAGTATATCACTATAACAATATTCTAGTGCTGATTTTTTTTAAAAAGCTCCCCAGTGGTGAGGAGAGGAAATGGCTCTCCTGGGGACAGGTTCGGGGGAAAGGGCTGCCACGGCAGCCAGAAAATCTGGTTTGCCCCCCACACAAAGTGGCCAGCCTGGATCACTGCAGTCTTTCCCAAAGCTTCAGAGCCAAGCAGGTTTGAGAAAAACTGGAAAGAAGATGGGAAAACACCCAAAGGAACATGACTACACCACAATGATTGTGGGGCAGCAGGGGAGAAAAAACTTCGCTTCCCAGAGGCATTGAAACTGGAACACATGACACCACAGGGTATACTTCGCAAGAAGAAGAAGAGGAGATTGGATTTATAGCCCGCCCTTCACTCGGAGTCTCAGAGCGGCTTACAAACTCCCTTCCCGTCCCCTCCCCACAACAGACACCCTGTGAGGTGGGTGGGGCTGGGAGAGCTCTGACAGAAACAGCTCTTTTTCAAGGACAGCTCTTATCAGAACCACGGCTTGGAAGGAAGGAAGGAAGGAGATTGGATTTATACCCCGCACTTCACTTGGAGTCTCAGAGCGGCTTACAAACTCCTTTCCCTTCCCCTCCCCACAACAGACACCCTGTGAG